CCGAATCGCAGCTCAGCTAGTGCAAAGCAGAAGCGGGTCTTCTTGGTAAAAAACAAACATATGCAAACACCCACTGTATCACGATTCTAATGTACGATTCTATTAATTACACAAATCGGTGTTGATGGTGTTGAGTTAGTATTGGTTTTTTTTTGGTATGGGTCCAACAATGTCCAACAGGATGGACCCCCAGCATGACATGACATGACATTGAGGAAGACCCGCAAGACCTGCAATGTCCAAAATCAAAAAAGCTACCAAATCGAAACAGGAGAATGGACCTTGTTAGAAAGGCATCAAGTTCCATGACTATGCCAATGACAAGCATAAGTTTTCAGGGGTCGCGGTTCTCGGTTCCCCCAAACAAGTCATGGCTTCCAAAAAATACTCAACAAATAACAGAGTATATAATTCACGTTTCTACGCATGACCATGATCCAACCGGTCCTCAAATGCCCTGACTGCGCCTGGCAGTATCAAAAGTGCCACTGCTCGCCCGACCGCCGCCTTTACCCGAGCCCTTGCCCCGTCCGCGCCCTGCGCCGGTTGAGCAGGAGGAAGGCCGGGGGGAGGGGTGCAAAAGCGATCTCTCCCAAGAGCCAGCAAGCAAGGTCGCGTGGTTGATAGACCCGACAAAATACGCTTCATTGTTTTGTGATCAATATCCATAACATGGGTGTTGGATTGGAGGGTATCGTGTATCAACATTTGACAAGGCCAGCAATCCACATTCTCGCTGATAGGAGAATGCACGGCAGAAGTGCACCATTAGTCGAGTGGGCTGGATTGTGGATTCCCACCATTGTCACAACTGACGGATAATGATGGTCAGCAACAACGTTTAGTTCTTGGTGAAGATCGCGTACACTCCCTGGAAGTGGAGTTCACCACCTGTCTGTAGAGGGATTGCTGGTCATGCGAACCCGGGGCCATGCAATCCACGTAACCATGATGCTTTCAAGGTGTGTAGCCAACATCTTTGCGAGTACCACAGGTCACCAATCGAATACAGTATAATATATAGAGTTTAAAATATAGTATAAAATAGTTACATATAAATTTACATACTGTACATTTACCACCATTTATGACCCTAATATTTGAGGTGTCAGTGTCAATGATTACTGATTGGATGGTCTGGAATATCTATTACTATTTATTACCTCCAACCGGGTCCAATAACAACGGAGACCAAGATCTGATGGATCCAAGATCATATCTGGCATGATCGATCTGCATTTGACCTTTAAAACAGCTTGAAAAATCGACCCCAACAGCTTTAGGCAACATGTGACAAAACCTCTCTCTCTGCTCCGAGACCGGCGTGACCGCGTTTCGTCGCCGCCGCCTGTCTCCGCCTTGGTGTCCTTTGTGGCCATGGCTGCGGATCCGATCCGAGCGCTGGACGTGGAGTTTTTTTCGCCTGGCGCGAGCCTCTTCAATGTCGGTGAGACCGGGGACTTTCTGCGACTCGGACAGTGACAGTGTCGATTCGAGGGGAGGATTACTTCGCCAAGCGGAGGTCCAGAGCCAAGTGGAGGCATGATGATTTTCTGGCAAGAAGGAAGCTCTAAAACATGAAACAAAATCATCATGCCACTAGACATAATCATGATTATTTTGTGTGGCATGTTGATTTTGGTCACCAAATTTTTGATGAGGGAAACAGGGAAACTCTGAAAAATGAAACTCTGAGTCGGAGTCACATGAAACTCTGAGCGTGTCTTTTTGAGATGTGTTTTTTCCTGTGCGTTGTGCGTTCTGCCAGGCGCTGTGCGTTGCTTTCTTAAGTACTTTTACCATGGGTGCTGGTTTACTTTTTCAGTGCGTCGATGACAAAGTGCCATTTATCAGTCAGTGATTTACTACCTCAAACTCTCACTTTGGACGAGCATGCCTGTTGACTTCTGACACAACGCAGCAGAGCCTTGAATGTGTTTCCTGGAAAAACGTCAACATAATACATATGGGAGTTGGGTTTTGCCAATGCTTTGCCGCTTTGCCCATGTTTTTTCCTGGCTTGAGCCTCGAGCCAATATTTATTATAATGGACAATGCTTTTGGACTGTGTTTTTGAGAGCGGGCATCTATAATCCACAAATGTTGTGCAACAGAATTAGGTGTTTTTCCATCCCAGTTAGTCTTACGGGGTCACTGTTTACATCACTGTTTTTTTATGCTAGTATGATGCAAGCCTTGGTGCAACCGCAGTGGCCACAAGCCTATGATGGGGAGCCGCTGTTGCAGCGACTGGGCCAACATGCTCCACCATCTGCTTCGGCTCCAGTGCCAACTGCCGTTGCCCAAGCTGCTCAAGGGTGTGAACGTGCTCCCGATGGTAACATCCAGGAGCAACACTCAGGAGGACTTCGTCCTGCAGAGCATCGTAGCCGTAGCCGGACACCTCCCCCACAAGTGGCACCCTCTACACCTGAGCTGCCCTCCCCTGAGGCTTTGGCTCTGGATTCTCCTGAGATGCCTGCTCAACCACTGGAACCCCCTACACCTGAGGTACTCCGAAGGCCGTTGACTATCGCCAAAGAAGGTGACAGAGCTTGGTACCTCTCCCGCCTTTCTGGGCAAATTCCCTTTGATGTGTTTGGCCAAAGCTTTGACATGGATCTCAGCTGCCCTCACTGCAACCGCCCGCTCACTTTGGCCCATCTTCTCCATCGGTGCGCAACCGTGGTCTCCCATGCTTTGCGCTGGGAGTGGGCTTGAACCGGTGCTTGAGTTGGAGCCTCTACATCAAAAGATCCTCCACGTTGGTCGCTGTACTGCTCAGGTTCATGCGGCTTTCAAAGAATATGCGACCTCAGGTGAATTACGACGTGTCGCGGGTTCTCTCTCTTTAGATTGAGCTGCTTTTATAGAGAAGGCAGAATGTTTGCGGCGTTTCTGGCCCTGACAGGTTGTGCTCTGGTTGGGGCCCTGGTTCCACTTCCCACTGCCGTAACTATACTTAGCTTCTCATGAGTGTTCATTACCTGTCCGTGTCTTTGTTTTTTGCTTTCATCTACATCTCCACCACTCCGGCCAAGTTTGGCGCAAGTGGGGAGATTGCTGCGGGGCACCTTCTGACGTGTGCCACCCCAGTCGCCCGCCATAGGGCGTCAACTCAACAGACCCCAACAGAGCCTCGCCAACATCGTGCGCGGGCGAATTCGACTTGCGGGGCGATGTGGTCAGGTAGAGGTTGGAAACCGATGTGGAACATGGCCGAGTTTCGGTTGAGAATCTGAGAGCGTTGTGGGAGGTTGATGGAGCCCCAGGGATTTTCTTTGATGTTTAGTCTCCAGGTCCACGTAATCCAAGCGGAAAGCGTAACACATTTGCGTTGTTGATTGAAGCTCCACATGTTGGAGAATCCAGGCCAGGAGTCAATCTTGGAGCTTGCTCCAGTCCAAAGTCTGGAATCTGGAATTTGGTCGCAAATGATTTGTAGCCAACCAACTGGGACTTGGCTACAACAAAAATCTTACCTCACGACTTGTGCCAAACCCTTGTGATCTCAATGTTCCAGAAGCACAAAAGACCATTTCGCCCCTGAAAGCAAATACAGGAGATAGTTTAGGGAGGGATGAACCATACATCTCAAAAGGTCACTTGGGAGGTCATGACATAAAAGTTCCTGAACCTTAAACATCCTTAAACACTTCCGCCACCTATAGGAGCGTATCTGTTTCAGAGCCCCAACAAGAGGTTGAACATGTGCACATTCACCAACCAGCTCACATGGGTTGATTCGAGCCGCCCGGCCAGGTCCCCTTTCGTCACTTTTTGGTGCCGAAACGGGCGTCAACGGGCGGCCGTTTCGGCGGGCAAAGGACAGGGGGCAGGCTCCTGCAGCGCAAAATAGAACATCGGGAGATACTGCTGAAATGTGCTGGAAGTGCACGAAACATGATGTTTACAACAATCTATGATCATCTATGTATGGAATAGTTGCCTAATGTACCTAATGTTACCTACATTGCAATCATATATGTGACTATTCCATACGGGGATGGTAGGTTAAATGGTCATTGCCATGGCTTCCATCCTTCGTGAGCAGGTGCATGTCCCAAAAGGACTGGGTAGGTTATCTAGGTTTAGGTTTAGGGTCATCTCTGACCATGTCCCAATTTTGCAATGGACGAGTTCGTTTGATAATTGTGCTCCCTCATGTGAAAGCAGCATGGCATGTGGTGCTCCCTTGCCGCACATGGTTTTTGCAACCACCTGCGACTTCACAGGAGTGCACAAACCAATTGATGCCGACCCTCCAGCGACCAAACCACATACTGACAATATACTGACTATACCTTCCATACCACTCCCATCCTTCAATTCCACCTATGTGCAAAACACATAAGTAATATTAATAGGACCCTAGCCACTCCCAGGCGCAGCTTGTCGCCTCCGTCAGCTCGTCGCGGAGGCCGATGCCTGAGAGGCCCCTCCGCTCGGTGCTAGGCATTGCTAGGCGTTCAGGTGCCGCCGCTGCTCGTCGCGCAAAGCTTCAAACAAATACTCATTGCTGCCTGGGACACCGCGAGTGAACGGTGAAGGACATGCAGGACAGGCTGAAGGACCAAAAGGGCAAAAAAACAGCATCATGAAAACTGGAAAACACACATGATACATACCTCCTCCCAGCTCTTGGCTTGACATCTTTCCCTGCTGCATGCTGAAATCCAGGAAACTGAAACCAATTGGTCAGTCCGGAAACCCCACGGGCATTTTGCGGTGTGTGGCAAGTGGCCCCCCCTACCAAAACATGCGCCTGATTCTGTGGGCCTGGATCTGGGCCCGATTCTTCGGTGGATCTGGAAAAAACCCGCTGGCTGGATCTGGGGGAGCCACGTTGGCTGGATCTGGACCCGACCCCGCTCGATATCCGAGGTTGAGAGTCCGATGCTTTGGGCTCCTGGCCGCCCCCTCCGGACCTGACACGACAAACAATCACCCAAGAAGCTCAGCAGTGCCAACTCCTGCATGGATTTCAACAAACTCACCACGACCATAGTCTCAGCCTGGCCAGTGCTAGGCTGCTAGCTACGCGTTGCGAAGAACACTGACACTCCTGCACACCGCTGCTGCAAGAAATGACATCACAGGAACACTCACAGGAACTTGTTTACATCAAATGTATCCACCAACTCTCACCCCCTCGAAAAATGAAACATGTTCCTTACATGTGCACATGAACCGAACCTTTTGATCAAATGTCCTGACCATTGGCCAAAATGTTGCCCAACTTCGATTTGCTTAATTTGGGAGCCGGGAGTAATGAAATATCTTGACCAGAAGGACATGCGCCCAGTTCGGGAAAAATACCCTTAGGCGCGGTCCCCAAACAAATAGTGGCACAGCTTTCCAATACATAGTCGGGATCTTCTTTTCTATCTATTTGGGGCTCCAAAGAAGCAACACCTGAGGGATCCTTAGGGCTCCAACCATGTCCACAGAAGGTGGTTGGAGCCCATGGGAATAAACAAACAGGCCAAACCCCGACCAACCGAACCTCCCAGCCGGACCCACGCCTCGCGGACCCGCACGCAGGGCCGTTGCACGACGGAGTCGCTGCCAAAGCGTTGCCGGAGCCTAGTGGAGGCTAATGAGGTTGGAAGGTGAGGATGGGGCCTTTTCCGAACCAAACAACGTGAAACAACCTGGAACAACTTACAGAAAATGAATGCGACCGGTTGTGTGTGAGATGTGTTTAATATGTTTGAATTTGTTTTACCGTGGTTTACTTTGAAAGTTTTAATGTGTTGAAACTGGATAGTTCAAAACAAATCGAAATGTTTTCGGGATTTTGGAGGAAACAAGGCATTTGTTATCATTTGTTCACCCACGGGATCGCATGCGACAAGTGTTTGGCCGACAGCCCCAACTGGGTCGACTGTCTTGATTTGTTCTCTCTATTAAGAAAAAGACTCATTGAAAATTTCAGGTATCCACAAGTTGATCTTCGGAAGGGAGGCCCATCACATCCCATCACACCCAACATCTTGGGGCGCTGGGTCGCTACTCACTGGCGACCGGCCAAAAAAACGAGTATCGCAAAGCTGAGGGGTGTTCAGTACTGAGCACCACTCCCACAACCCGTAGACAACATCTTGGGCTCAACACCAAAAGTGTTTTCAATTAACCGTTGCACCTCTTCACATTTCCAAGCAACTCAGAGCTGGATTGCGTCAACCGTTCGAGGGCCTGTGCAAGTCAGGAGGACAGCAAGGAGTGGGTTAAATGGGTTCCCACGCTAATCACAGCTATGTTGAGCAGGAGTGCCAAAGTTTGGACATGGTGGGCTAGCATCGCCTTGCACAGTGAAGTAGTTTAAACACAAGAACGAAAATCCAACCGAGATAACCTATCAAATAACAAAGGTCGCCTGTCACTCAAGCTGCGCAGTTGGTCAAACGAACGCAACACGCACAATCCCTGGAACAGGTTAAATGAACCTTCCACCTGTTCTATCGATCCTGCCGCGATTCACGACATTGTTGTAGACACTCTGGTCTGACAACAGGTGGTGCATTGAATTAAGCTTCACACACCAGCGGGTCAAAGATCCAAGTAGAGAGACGCTGATCACGTCCATCTAAAAATTACACCGGCAAGGGACCCCAAATAGTGTAAAGAGGAACAGATGGAACATGGCATCACGTGGAAGGAAAGCAGGAGCACACAGATGAAAGCACAAATATGAGAGGAGACATACAAGAGCACAAATGGGAGAGTGCACAGATGAGTTGTGTTTTTTTTTTGTGGTGTGGGGCTTATACACTGGGTCTGTACCTACGCGGGTGCCTACGCCTGGGCTCCCCTCTCAAGCAAATGCCTACGCAGGGTGCTGTCACCAACTTTAGTCACATCAGGTGACTCGAAAAGAGCTATATAATCCGCAAGTAGTGGCCCGATGCGACCGGGTCACAGCAGGTTCCTGTTTACAAGGCGTTTACAGCTTTGCTACCGATGGCCAGATAGATTTTGTATCAAGCCGATCCAATTACAGTGTGGAAGCAGCAGCACATAAACAGCGCACAACAAGCAGAAAACAAGAGGCAGCAGCAGCAGCAGCAGCCAAGCAGCAGCAAAAGCAGCAGCAAAAGCAGCAGCCAAGCAGTAGCAGCAGCCAATGGCTTCTTGCCTACGCGCTGCTTCCGCGAGCGCCTACGCGGGGCCTACGCGAAAATAGGTCCATTGATTATGGTACCAACAGGGTGCGCACAGTTGTAGCTCAAGAGCCGGTGTGCCAGACCAAGCACGATCAAGCTTTTGACCTCAAAAACCAATGTGCCCCCATAGCTTCGACAAACAAACTTCAAACATCCACTGTAGCCATGTCGTTACAATTCATTTTCATTTTCCTTCCCCACTGGAATTTGCAAGCAAGTGTCAAGTTAAACAACTACAAGCCAACATTATCTTTCCCCAAGACCCTTGAACAACTTTTAAAGAAGTCTGAAAAAGAAAATTCAGGCTTTCATGAAAAGGGTGCCTACGCAAGACTGCCTACGCAAATCTTTCAACACCCACCTACGCAAAATGCTTACACGACGCCTACGCCCCAAGCAGAACAGCCTCCGCGACTTCTCAACAGTTCCCTTTTTGTATAAACCTAATCATTTGCAAAAAAAACGTGGCTCAGATGAGAGCAGCAGATGCGGAAGCATGTGAAAGACCAGAGGGACCAGGCGTGAGGTTGTAAGCATGAGAGTGCGACCAGCGTAGTGCCAAAAATGCTAGAGTAGTATGGCTGAAAGGTCGTTGTAAAACAAAAAGCTACGACTGCAGACGCGCATGTTTTCCGCGGTGGCAAGCTGCGAGTGCGTGCGATTGAAATTCAAAACCCTTCAAGAACATCTGCACATCGAGATTCACGAGCACACATATGAGAGCATATGGGAGCACATATAAGAGCACAAATGTGAGAGCACATACAAGCACAAATCTGAGAGCACATAGGCGAGTACATAGGAGCATTTCGAAGTTCACAATGTACCGCGCCTGCCACGAAATCTGCACATCGAGGTTCACAAGTACTGCGCCTGCCCCGAAATCTGCACATCGAGGTTCACAATGCACTGCGCCTGCCACGAAATCTGCACATCGAGCTTCACAAAGTGCTGCGCCTGCCACGAAATCTGCACATCGAGATTCAC